TTGATAAGGTATTGAATGGTATTCCAAGGACTATTACCAAACAGATGAACCTGCAACTTACTAGACCTGTAATTGAGAAGAAAATCAAAATTGCAGTGTTCTCTATGCAACCAAACAAATCCCCGGTGCGATGGTATGTCACCTATTTTTTTTCAAAGGTATTGGAATATCATTAAAGTAGATGTAGTGAACACTATCCAAGGCTTTTTATACACTGGTTTCCTTTCTAAAGCTATCAATGAGACCCTGCTCACCCTCATTCCTAAAATAGACAACCCCCTCAATCTTGCTCACTTTAGGCCTATCAGTTTGTGTAATGTTCTTTACAAAATCATTTCCAAGATTATGGTGAATAGGCTCAAACCCTTTCTTAACTCTTGCATTAGTTAGTCCCAGGCAGCCTTTGTCCCAAATAGGCAAATATTTGACAATGTTATAGTAGCTCATGAATACATGCACTGGCTAAAGTAAAAAAGAAAAGGGAGGGAGGGGTACATGACCATTAAACTTGATTTGTCCAAAGCCTATGACAGAGTCGAATGAAATTTTCTTTATGCCATTCTCAGAAAAATGGGATTTGCACTTGTGGATTAGATGGATGCATGGTTGTCTTTCCTCTGTTTCTTACTCTTTCAATGTTAATGGAGTTAAGCGAGGGTATGTTACTCCATCTAGAGGGATTAGGTAAGGAGATCCCCTTTCTCCGTACCTATTTCTGTTTTGTGCTGAGGGGCTTTCTAATCTCCTAAATAATGCTGTCAGAAACAAACAAATCACAGGAGTCAAAATTGCAAGACAAGGCCCCAATGTCTCCCATCTATTTTTTGCTGACGATTCACTCATTTTTTGTAAAGCTAACGGTGATGAAGCAGGACAGATAAAAGAATTGTTGGAGTGCTATGGAAAAGCATCTGGGCAACAAATTAACATCAGCAAATCATCAGTCTTCTTCAGCAAAAATACGGGTAACAGAGAGAAGGAGGAGGTGCTGCAGAAGCTGGGAGGAATCCAACAACCACATATGGAAAGTACTTGGGGTTACCTTTAGTTGTTAGAAGGTCCAAAAATAGCGTGTTCAGGTTCATTAAAGAATATATGATGAATAGGATTCAGAATTGAAAAGGTAAACTTTTGAGTAATGCAGGGAAAGAGGTCTTGCTCAAATCCGTAGCTATGGCTCTCCCATCCTATGCTATGTCAGAGTTCAGATTATCAAAGAGCCTTTGCAAAGAGCTAAGTGGGATGATGGCCAGATTTTGGTGGGGAAATGATCAAAGAGAAAAAAGATTGCACTGGAAAAAATGGACTGATCTAGCTGATAGGAAAGAGAATGGAGCTCTTGGGTTTAGGGACTTACTCTGCTTCAATGAAGCATTGCTAGCCAAACAAGTATGGTGATTCCTTACCTATCCTAACTTGTTGGTAAGTAAAGTTATGAAAAGCAAGTACTTTCCTAAATCTGATATCTTTGATTCCAAAGTGAAGGCTGGAGCATTGTGGATTTGGCAAAGCTTGCATAGTTCATTAGAGATGCTAGAAAGTGGGGTATGGAAGCAAGTGGGGGATGGAACAACAGTGGAAATATGGAATGATAGATGGATAGATTGCACAAAATTTGGGAAAGTCTCCTCTCCAAAACCAAATGGCTGCCAACTGACCAAGGTTAGCAACTTGATTGAGGGGAAGCAATGGAACAAGGATATCATCCAAGCACTTTTCTCAAAAGAGGAGGCAGAGGCGATCTTGTTAATTCCTCTCAGTGTATTCCAAAAAAAAGATAGATTCAAATGGAGACATACAGCTAATGGTTTCTACTCTACTAAATCTAGGTATGCTAAGGCCAAAGAGAGAATCAAAGAGGTTAGCGTGATGAATAGGGCGCAAGTTAACTCCAGCACAAACAAAGAAAGATCCAAGGTCTGGAATCAACTTTGGGGACTGAACATGAAACACAAAATTAAACACTTCTTGTGGAAATGCCTCCATTGCATCCTCCCAACTAATGAGAAAATTTTTAGAAGGACGGGCAAAGGTGACCCGCTATGCAAATGTTGCGGGAAAGAACAAGAAACAACTGAACATGCATTACTTCACTGCAAGACTAGAGAGATGGCATGGGCAACCTTTCCTGTTTCTTGGGACGGTATCAAAGACTATAAATGGAACTTTTGGAAATGGTGGGAACATATGCAGGAAGCCAGATCAAGGAAAGATGGGACTAAACACATTGAAGCCACAGCTAACTTACTCTGGCAAATTTGGAATGCTAGGAACGAGTGAAACTTTAACCAGGCAATGAAAGAGGGGCACTAGGTATCCAAAAAAGCAGTGGAGAAGTGGATAGAATTTAATGAAGTAGGAAGAAATGCTGAGGTGCCCATGGAAGAGGGTTCCCAACCAGAAAATAGATAGGGCATATTAGTGGGACTGATGGAACAGCACAGCCCCATTATATACACGGATGCAGGAATGAACCAGGACAGAACGAAAGCTGGAGTAGGGATTATAGCTAAAGCTAGCAATGGAAGGATTCATGCAACATGGTCTATTCCGCATCCAGGAGCCAGAGATGAAGCAGAAATGGAGGCTATTGCAATTAGAACAGCATTGAGCAAGGCCATAGAGGAAAATATGAGATCCTTATTGATTCTCTCTGACTGTAAAACCGTTGTGGATAGAATCAATACAGGATGTCAAGGCCTAACCTCTCTGGACATGCTAATTGAAGACATCTGGCAATTGAGTTGTTCCTTCTGGAAATGCTCCTTCTTTCACATTAGGAGACAAATGAACCTGTGTAGTCATAAGTTAGCTAAGTTAGCAATTAACTTGTTACAAAAAATTAGGTGGAAGCAATCCTTCCCTGTGTGGCTATAGACAAAAAGAAATTATTTAATTTATTTAGTTAAGATTTATTTAAATTAAATTGATCTTGATTAAATTAAGTTAAATGATAAAAGTTCATTATGTTTTGAACTTGCAAATTGGGCCAGTATTATATGAGATATTAAATCAAATTAAATTTGTAATGTCCATTTAAGTTGAAGTGAACTAATTGATTTATTAATTCACAATGGACTATTTGGGTTGACCCATTATTTAAGCCCAAGTTAAATGGATTTCTTAAGTAACAAGTGATCCAAAATGCAGGAAGATTCTGAGGATTTTCTTGAAGATTTAGCCTACATATTTTGGCTATAAATAAAGGTCTTTTCTCAAGTCAAAGACATGAGAAAAATCCCTAACATTCGGAGAAACTCTTTCAAATTCTCTTAAGAGCTTTCTTCCTCAAATCCGAGTCCAAATCAAGTCAAACAAATCCTCCTGCTATCAGTGTTGAAGACTTGAAATTCCAAGTGTTTGACGCCATCATTAAATCAATCGTTTTCTATGCCGAAATTGTAGGAAACGCTCTTTCGATTGAAGAACAAGTCTTTTCGACCCTTTAATTGAAGCTATTCGAAGAAAAAAATCAGGGGATTAAATTCTTTGACTCAAGAATTTTTAGAGATTGTAACCCACTTATTTTTTGATTTAATATATTTGATATTTGTGCAAGTTTTCTTGTCTTTTATTTTAGGCAACAAAATTTGTGCTTACAAATTTCTGGCACGCCCAGTGGGACCATCTCTGCCTCTTATCTCTTTTCTTCCAACAACTTACCAGTTTCAAAATTCAATGGAGTTCAAAAAGATAAACTTTTCTCTTGAAAGCTTAGTTGCTGATGTCTCAACCACTCAAGGGACGTAGTATACTGCACCTCTGACAAGGAGCAAAGCAAAGAAGTTAGTAGAAAAGGCTAAGGCGAACGTTGTGATTGAAGAAGTAAACCTCAAGATGCTTTCTAACAAGAAAGGGGCCTATAATGAATCCATTGATAGTCCAAGTGATTCGGCTGCCTCTGTGGTGATGCCCGTCATGATGACTAATACCACAACTGTAGAAGACCAGATTTCAAATCTAACCAAAATTGTCGAAGGACTAGTAGTGCACACGCAAAGTCAAGATACCAAGATAGTCAAATTAATAGCCATGGTGAAAAATATAGGCGAAAATAGCCTTAGTATGTCCAAACAGAAATCCAAAGTACAAGATGAAAGTGACTCATCATCAAGGGAGAAGGAGAAAGAGGATATGAAGTCACAAGCCATGAAGGAATTTTCAATCTCCCCTGATGGCACTATTCATATTGATAATCTGAAGGAGTTTATCGAAGGCACAATCAAGGACAAGATTGATGGAAGTGCCAAATCATATAGCGGTTACACCAAACCTTATACCGCTAGAGTGGAAAGTTTGAAGATGCCTGTGGGATATCAACCTCCAAAATTTCAACAATTTGATGGCAAGGGCAACCCTAAGCAGCATATTGCACATTTCGTGGAATCCTGTAACAATGCTGGCACTAACGGTGACTTGCTTGTTAAGCAGTTTGTTCGCTCGCTGAAGGGCAATGCCTTTGATTGGTATACAGATCTGGAGTCTGGAACTATTGACAGTTGGGAGCAGCTAGAACATGAATTTCTTAGTCACTTCTATAGTACAAAGAGAACTGTCAGCATGACTGAACTCTCTAATACACGTCAATGGAAGAATGAATCTGTCATTGATTTCATCGACCATTGGAGGAATCTAAACTTAAATTGCAAAGATCGAATTTCTGAATCTTTCGTGATCGAGATGTATATTCAAGGTATGCACTGGGGATTCAGATACATCTTATAAGGTGTACAACCAGAAACGTTTGATGAATTGTTCACAAAAGCCCACAAGTTGAAAATTAATCTTAATGGACAAGAACCGCCAGTTCCTGACCCTCACAAGGCTAAAGAGAGACAAAAAGCAAGAAAAGGGGGCAAGCCACCGTTCAAAAATGAAAAGAAGGAGGTTTGGCTACAAGTGTAACGCTTTTTAAGATTGTTCTCAAAACTGTCAGGAGAAAAGACAGGAAAATCAATGCACATTAAGAACAAGGAAAGAGAAAACCGACTCTCAAGGAGATGCAGGATAAGGAGTACCCTTTCCTTGATTCTGATGTTTCTGGTATGTTTGACGATCTGCTAAGTATAAATTTGATCACGCTTCCTGAGATGAAGCGACCTGACGAGTCTAGGAACACTGATGATCCAAATTACTGTAAGTATCACCGATTAGTTGGGCATCCTATTCAAAAATATTTTGTCTTCAAAGACAAAGTAATGGAGTTGGCGAGACAAAGAAAAATTCTTCTTGAAGAAGACAAGGCAAGTGTGAATCAAACGTCCATTGATTTTCTACAATCCGTGGAGGTTAAAAGAGTCAGGGCTTCTGCATTGCCAACAATTTAATTTGGTTCATTGGATCCCATAGAAATCGAACAAGAAGGTGCTCTTCTAGCTCATCAAAAATATGCATATGAAGATGGGGAAGCATTACAATCCGATGTGAACGATGAAGAATAGACTTTAGTCACTCGAAAAAGGAGGCGACGTTCCCATCCATCTAATAAGGTGAACAAGGCTTTAACAAGAAGTTTAGTGATCTGGAAGGGGAAAGAGAAGGATGTAAAAAGAAACAATGACTGTCATAATCTTCAAGGAAGTCGAATCTGGGACAAGCAAAAGTTGCGGACTCCTGTCACTTTAAAAGAATTCATGCCAAAAGAATTCTTTGATGTTAATGTGGTCACAAGTCACACAACGCGAGTAGATCATGTCGAAAAATAAAAAGATAATACTCGCGAATCTCTCTGTGAGATAGCCTGTGTGGCTATCAGCGATGAAAAAAGTCGTGTGCCCACCAGCAATGAAGAGGTGAACGTCACAAGTATCACTTTCACTAGTGAAGACTTGTTGCTTGGATCAACACCGCATAATCGCCCTTTATTTGTGACTGGTTATGCAAATGAACAAAAAGTGAATAGAATTTTGATAGATGGAGGTTCCACAGTCAATATTCTTCCTTTAAAGACTCTGAAGGAGCTTGGCATCCCAGTTGATGAACTCTCTAACAGTCGATTGATGATTCAAGGTTTTAACCAAGGAGGGCAAAGAGCTCTTGAATCACTGAATTTGGAGATAGTCATTGATGACATGTCATCTAGAGCGTCGTTGTACGTAATAGATGCTAAGACAACGTACAATGTACTGCTGGGAAGACCCTGGATTCATGAAAATGGAGTTGTACCATTAACTCTTCATCAATGTTTCAAATACTGTTAAAATGGGGTAGCAAGAAGTGTGAAAACCGATGACAATCCTTTCACTGAGGCGGAAGCATATATTGCTGATGCCAAATTTTATATCAAAAGGCACAATACGAAGGATAAATCTGAGCAACATCTATCTGTGGATAAAATCCAAAACCCGAAATCTCCGAGTGCAAAAGGGAAAAACTGATAAATTCGAAGTCAAAAGAGGAAGTTTATGAAGAAATTGATGTTTCATTGCCAAACAACGAATCAGTTGTCTTTCGTTACCCTCCCAAGTCAAGAATGGAATAGGAACAGTCACCTGCAATTCAGCATGAAACTCTAAAAGGTTTGACTCTTCCGGTAGTTCATCTTGATACAAAGAAGGCATCATTTCCTCCACTTAAAAGGTCTAACCTTTTAAGTAAAGAATCTGAAGCTGAACAAGACACCACACCAGAGTCAAGAACCAAAGACGGTTTTGATCCCATTGCTCATAAACTTCTCGCTAAGGCTGGATACGATCTCAAAGAATTTGCTGTGTTAAATGTTCCATCCCGTCAATCTACTAGTGACATGATTCATGGGTTGAATCGTACCCAAAAGATGTTGAAGGAAAAAGGATATGCCGTTGAAAATCTCAAATTTGGTCTTGGCTATTCCTCTCCTGCACCAATCCGCATCAACATCAATAGAGCTAGTAGCCAATATATTATTGTGGAGGATGAGTCTTCTCAAATAACTGGTAAATTTCAAACTTTTCACGGAAAGGAGAATAAAACTCCACAGGTATCTGTTTTTAAGAGATTAGAACCACAAAGAAAACAAAAGCCTCAAAACTCTCATAGGACTAAAGGAAAAATGGCAAAATCATTGTAAAATCTTGAAGAATCTTCTGATTGTCCTCATAAATTTGGCAGCATCATTCCCTCGAGAATGAGAAGATGCACAGACCTTATAATAAAGTGTGGGACTGAGTTAAGGATCAGAGAGCATACTGTGGTGTACACAAGACCAAAAGAGGATGATGAGGAGAGTGTTGCTTCATACAATCATACATGTGAGAACCCTAAAAAATGGATATATAAACTAGTGCATATTTCATTTGCATTTCTTTTATTCTTGGCTAATTTTTAGTATTACTTTTAATTGTTCGCAATTAAGTACGTAATAATAGGTTTACAAAAAAAAATAATAATATAATTTTCCTAAGTTATGAAATTTCTTGGTTTTATTTGACTCAATTAATATCCTTAGGGTTAGCTTAATTTGTCGCCTTAACATAAAATGATAGAATACTTAATTCTTTTATGCTAAATTAATGATAATTGAATCGATAGACTTACTATCTTTAAATAAATTATTTAAGTTCCTATGATTAATTCCAATTAGTTGCTAATGTTAAATATTAATAAGAATTTCTAGGAACCTTAATATTCAAGTTTAATCGATAATTATTCGATAAAAATGGTTTAGGTATATTAGGGTAATATTAGGCGTTCAAATCACACTTGAGGATAATTTTTAGAATTAAGTTGGAATTGAGAAATTAAGTTGAGATTAGGGAACAAAGTGAAAAGACAAAAATACCCTTACCTTTCCATGCAAATCAAACAAGACGTCTGACCGCAAATCAAATCACATTTGCTATTACCAATTCGATACGCAACCCATTTGTTATACGAAATCGATTCTTACACAAAACCTCTATTCCTTAAACAACGGCACCACCATACCATCCTCTCTATCTCACGGCTAAAACCACAATACCATCCTCTCTATCTCACGGCTTAAGACACAATTCAATTTCATTCTCTGCACAAAACCAAACCGCAAACCATTTCTCCTTTCTAAATACCGAGGCACCACCTTCACCAAATCTCATCTCCTTCTCTGCACAACTCCACCGAAACCACTGCAATCTCTCTTCATAACCACACCTCACCTCTTCCTCTACCTCAGACCGAGAGCATCCGAGAGAGAGGGTCACCTGGTGAGCTACATCCGAGAGCAAGGGAGGAGGGATCGCAGCTGCCATTTTCTTCCTTTCTGTTCTGACCGTAAGCTGAGGGAAGATACCAGGAACCATCGCACCTTTCTTCTACTAGCTGTGACCATTTCCAACTTCAATCAACCGAGCTCATCTTCATCAGCTACAACCAAATCCAGTCGCAGCTTAGGAGCCAGGAACCACCGACTGCACTTGAAGCCGTGAGCAAGGAAGAAATTTCTGGAAATTTTCGCGTGAGAGATTAGCTGCTATCTAAGGTAAATTCTGGATTAATTAGGTTGTTTATTAGTTGAACAAGCTATATCAGAGCTTGCATGTAGGGATTAGGCAATCGGATGCTGAAATCAAACCATTAGGAAAAATTTTGTTTTGATAAAATGTTGCTACCGAGACTTTGATGAGATAATGCAGCTCCATTTGTGTTTTTCTGTGGCATCTGAACACCTAAGTGCCTTTAGCTGAGTGAAGACTTGAAAATTTAGATCATGCATGCTGAATTGTACATTCGGATGATGTATTAAAGCAGAGAAAAATTTCTGGTTGGGTTAAGAAAATTTCTGCCGAGAGCTTAGCTTAAATTTTTGCAGCCTGACTTGGTTTAATGTTGTTGTTTAAGCTTATAACCATAATTAGATAGTTAATAACAAGTTAATTAGGCTCTGCATGCAGCTAATTAGTTAGTTTAAACCAGAAAAATAAAATAATAATGCAATCTGTTGCATGCATGTTTGTCCGAAGCTAGCTGTACAGAATTTATGGAAATTTTGGGGATTTGCAGCTGTTGTTTAAGCCGTAACTTTAGAGAAATGTTCAAAGTAACTTTCTAACATTGATATTGAGAGGTTTGTCGACTTATTTCAAGAAAATAATACTAGTTACCTTTTATAAGAAAAATATTCCAAGGAAAACTAAAGGAAACAATTCTTCTACTTTCGTCAAGATTCAACCTATGGAGATTCTTGATTTTTCTAAGGGAAAGTGAACTAGTAGTATATTAGATATACCTCAATATCTATAAGCTTAAAAACTGAGTAGAAACTTATAGTTTCAAAATTTGGTTTTTAGGATACTGCGAGGACGCGGAATTCGATTTCCAACTTGATATCTGAACTCCACTTTTGGTGAGTGTCCCTGTTTGTTCTATTCCTACGTGATTAAAGTGCTTTCTTGAATTAAAATGTGATATTTGCAAAAAAATTGGTTTTTGATCCATCGAAGTGAGCGGTGTGTACTTTATCACACTAGCTGTTCGAGTGGTGACTTGCGTGAAACATTTTCTCGTGAATCCATGAATCTAAATGTAGTTACGTCGTTGGGTGAATCTCTCGACGCGTGAATCAAACTACAATTACGTCGTTGGGTGAATCCCTCGACCAATCAAATACGGGTATATCTCGAGTATACTGCGTCCTTAGTCGAAGTTCGGGCCCAGGACAGGGGTAAGAACGGTGACGGGTTAGGATTAAAATGAGTGGATCTACATGGACTATAAGTAGTGAGAGTTGACGGAGGGTCAACTACGATGAATGGTGATCAAGCGAGGAAAATGGCTCCTGAGAGCCCCTGTATCCTACCTTGTGCTGTTATACGCTTTCTAACTGTTTAAATTTGTTAAGTTATTAACTGCTGTTTGATATTACGTGATTGCATGTTTTGGGGCACTACTGAGCTTTAGCTCACCCCACGTTTATTGTTTTCCTTAACAGGTTCTGGAAACTGAAAGCTGGATGCTTACTTATGTTTTTCTTTTGAACTGTATTTGAATACTATAACTTATTCTGTGGGCTGTAATGTGTTATTTGGGATAATGTATTTTCCTTTTTGGATTGCCACTTGAAGCTGGAAAATGTGTAAACCCTAATTCGATTTCTTGGCTTGTAAGTTTGTATTATGGATTTATGTACTTATCTATCCGGATTGTTACGACTTTATACTTTGGTACGTAGCACGTAGGACGTTTAAGGGCCTCGACTGGTTATTTTTATCACTGCTACCTCTGAAGTTAATGTGGCTTTAAGGAAGATCTTATTCAGGAAAAATTGTTTTGTAATAGATTAGGATATTCTTCGAAAGGATTTGGGTTAGAATGCTTGCGTGAGTCCTGGCGAGAGTTGGGCAGACGGCCCGCCAACCCTTTGGTTCGCCTTAGGGGGAAGTGGGGTCGCCACAATACAACCCTACTTGACGGTGACTTTCCTGAAGAAGAAGAAGAAGATGCTGAAGACACTCCAACTGAATTGGAAGAAGGTGTTAAGGCCACTGTTGATGATGTAAAGGAAATCAATTTTGGTACATCAGAAGACTCGCGTCCAATATACGTAAGTGCTTTATTGAATCCCGACGAAGAGAAAGCATATATTGAACTTTTGCGGGAGTATCAAGATATTTTTGTATGGACTTATAAAGAAATGCCGGGTTTAGACCCAAAAGTGGCCGTCCACCATTTGGCTGTTAAAAAGGGAGTTCGACCTGTGAAACAAGCACAACGGAGGTTTAGACCCGATTTGATTCCATTAATCGAAATTGAAGTCAATAAGTTTATTGAAACCGGATTTATTCATGAAGTTAAATATCCCACATGGATTTCGAGTATCGTGCCTGTGTGAAAGAAGAATGGGCAAATCCGCATCTGCGTCGATTTCAGAGATCTTAACAATGCTTGTCCCAAAGATGACTTTCCTTTACCGATCATTGAGCTCTTGATTGATGCAACTGCTGGGCATGAAATTCTGTCATTTATGGATGGCTCTTCTGGATATAATCAAATTCGATTGGTACCAGAGGATGAAGAACTCACTGCATTTCGTACTCCTAAGGGTATTTATTGTTATAAAATAATGCCTTTTGGTCTCAAAAATGTTGGGGCCACATATCAAAGAGCAATGCAAAGCATTTTTGACGACATGCTTCATAAAAATATCGAGTGTTATGTGGATGATTTAGTCGTTAAATTAAAGAAAAGAAGTAATCACCTGGAGGACTTGAGACAAGTTTTTTATCAGTTGAGAAGGTATCAACTCAAAATTAATCCTCTCAAGTGTGCATTTGGAGTCACATCCGAAAAATTTCTTGGTTTTGTGGTTCGCCATCGAGGTATTGAAATTGATCAGGCCAAAATTGATGCTATATTGAGAATGTCTGAATCTCGGGACATTCATGAATTGAAAAGTCTTCAAGGGCGATTAGCTTATCTGCGGAGATTTATCTCAAATTTGACAGGAAGGTGTCAACCATTTAGTCGCTTGATGAAGAAAAATGTGCCATTTCAATGGGATGAGGCATGTAGTAATGCATTCAATAGCATTAAATCTTATCTTATGAAGGCACCTGTTCTGACTGCACCTATTCATGGAAAGCCATTACTTCTTTATATTGCTGCTCAGGAACGCTCAGTGGGAGTATTGCTTGCACAAGAAAATAATGAAGGAAAAGAGGTTGCCCTTTATTATTTAAGCAGAATGATGACCCCTAACGAACTAAATTACTCGCTGATTGAAAAGTTGTGTTTAGCTTTTATTTTTGCAATATAGAAGTTAAAACACTACTTTCAAACACATAGTGTGAGGCTCATTTCCAGGGCGAATCCCATAAAGTATGTGATAAGCAGGCCAGATGGTATTTTCAACTATAACAATTTGAGATTATTTATGTGCCTCAAAAAGCTGTGAAAGGACAAGTTCTGACGGATTTTCTTGCTGATCACCCTATACCTGCTGAATGGGAGTTAAGTGATGACCTACTATATGAGGATGTACTCCTTATTGAGATTCGCCCACCATGAAAAATGTATTTTGATGGTGCTGCCCATCATCATGGGGTTGGAGCGGGGATTGTATTCGTGACTCCTGATGGAGAGATATTGTTATACTCTTTTACCCTAAATCAACATTGTTCAAACAATGTTGCTGAGTACCAATCTCTCATATTCGGACTTAAAATAGCTGTTGACATGGAGCAGTTGGAATTTCAAATTTATGGTGACTCTCAATTGGTGGTTAACCAACTCTTGGGAAGTTATGAAATCAAAAAGTCCGAATTAATTCCGTATCACAAATATGCAATGCGACTTATGAAGTGGCTTGGAGGTGCAAGTATTAAGCATGTTCCTAGAAGGGAAAATAAGCAAGCTGATGCATTAGCTGTGCTAGCCTCTTCACTTGCCATGCCGGATCATGAGATACAAGTTCGTGTATGTCAAAAGTGGATAGTTCCATCACTAATTGATGTTGAAATGTTGAAGGAGGCGACGCTCATGTGGTCTCAACCTATGAAATTGACAAAGAAGATTGGAGACAACCCCTGGTTGATTATCTCAAGTATCAAAAATTACCTGAGGAGCAACGTAGGAGAACTGAAATTCGTCGTCGTGCCCCTCGTTTTATTTTGTACAAGGATACGTTGTACCGAAGATCATTTGAAGGTGTACTGTTGCGCTGTCTGAGCGAAGACGAGGCATATCGGGCGATGCACAAGACACATTCTGGAATATGTGGAGCTCGCCAATTCGGTCCCAAATTACATTTTCGGATTAAAAGGATGGGTTACTATTGGTCTACTATGGTCAAAGATTGTGTAGAATATGCTCAAAGATGTTAAGCTTGCCAGTTTCATGCAAATTATATTCATCAACCACCTGAGCCGTTACACCCGACTGTTGCTTCTTGGCCTTTCGATACTTGGGGCCTTGACGTTGTGAAGCCATTACCAAAGTCATCCGGCCAACATTTATATATATTGGTTGCGACCGACTACTTTTCTAAATGGGTTGAAACCATACCGCTCAAGTAAGTTAGAAAGGAAGATGTGGCGAATTTTATTCATGTGAATATTATTTATCGTTACGGAGTTCCCCGGTACATTATCACTGATAATGAAAAATCCTTCTCCAATAGCTTGATGGATAAGTTGTGTGAAAAATTTAATCTCAAGCAACACAAGTCCTCCATGTATAATGCCCCCGCCAATGGTCTCGCAGAGGCATTCAACAAAACTTTGTGTAACTTGTTGAAGAAAGTGGTGGCCAAATCAAAGAAAGATTGGCACGAAAGGATAGATGAAACTCTTTGGACCTATCGCACCACATACCGAACTCCAACGCAAGCCACACCATATGCCTTAGTCTATGGTGTAGAAGCTGTTCTGCCCCTTGAACAACAAATTCCTTCTTTGAGAATTGCTATCCAAGAAGGGCTCACGGAGGAAGAAAATGTTCGTCTGCACCTTGAAGAATTGGAAGGTTTAGATGAAAAGAGATTAGAGGCCCAACAAAATTTGGAATGCTATCAAGCCCGTCTCTCTAAAGCTTTCAATAAGAAAGTTCGGTGCCACTCCTTTCAAGTTGGGGACATGGTACTTGCCGTTCGAAAGCCAATAGTTATGACTCATCGCATTAAGGACAAATTCGTCTCTAAATGGGATGGACCATATGTTGTTCGAGAAGTTTACACAAATGGCGCGTATAAACTGGTGGACAAAGATGGTGTAAAAGTTGGTCCTATAAATGAAAAATTCATGAAATTATACATGCCATAAAAAAAAAGAGCACTCCATGACGCATGAGTCTAAACTGCATGTTGCTCCAGACCCGCATGAGTTAAAACTGTGGACAACAACCACCAATAGTGTAGTACGTGGTTAAACTGCTGAAACACTCCACCAAATCTAAGGTGGTAAACAAAAGGATACTCCTGACCCGCAAGAGTTTAAACTGTGAACGGTAGGAATTACGTGTGACTTGATTCCCTTTTGGGATACGTAGGCAGGCTAGAGGGCAACTTTTAAATTCAGTTACAACCCTATAAAATTAAAGTTTTTGTTCGAATGATTCTTTTGATAAAAAAAAAGAGAACGTTCATCTTTAGGACAGTTCAAATTATTTTGTGACATATACTTGAAAGTATATTATTCAGATTACCAAATTATTTGGATAATTACCTTTTCAAGTGTAATCAAAATTATACAAAGATGGAATTGTTCATACTATGATTGATAGCCTAAAACGGTGGCTATCGAAAGAGCAAATAAAGACGAGGATGTTTGCAAGAATGTGATGAAAAGAAAAAAAAATCAAGTTTCATTATGAAGTGCTTGTACTCATAGCTACATGCTTTGAGCAATTAACAAAAGATGAAATTTGAAACAAAGTAAAAGATGGTAACTATTCCTAGAATTCAAATGATGATAGCTCCTTTCGGTTGTTTTCAAGTAATGCTTGCATCTTGTCCAAAGTTTGACTCTCCTCAGTAAGTAGAGGCGGGGAATTTTCAATCTTACGAACTTCATTTTATAAGTCGACCATCACTCCTTGCACTCGAGTAAGCTCATCTTGCTCTTCTCGTAGCAGTGAAAGCGTCTCCTTCCTGTGAGTATCCAAGAACTCAAGTCACTTCCTCAACTCTACTTCCTCGCGATCAATCTCTTTAAGTTTCAACATGTGCGTTGAGATCTTCTCCACTTGTTGTTTCTCCTTACTCTGAGCATATCTAAGATGTTGGGTGGCCGTAGAAAGCAACTCATCATATGATTCAACTGAAATTTTATTTGAAAGAGAAGATTTCACTGCAACGTAACGAGCTGCATTTGCAAAGAAAGCCTTTAAAAAGCCTTGCAAATTTGAGATATCCGTGGCATTGAAGTTTTGCATTTCCTCCATGATTTCGTTGGCTTTCATTTCAAGAACTGGCAGGCGTTCCAAGGCTATTTGAGATTTCATCACCCTCAAGTTATTCCACAACATTTGGATATAGTCTTGACGACATGTTGAGATCACGCTTTGGGGGCAAAATTCAGATACTCGAGGTGCCCTTGACCACGATGGTGGATCAAAAACTTTAAGTTTTCTTTTGGCCGATGGAGTCATATGCTCCGCCATCTGTGGCATGATTTGCTGAATCACATTTCCATCCTCTACTGCCTTTTTGAAATTCTCACTAGCACTCTTTTGTTGGGTAGAACTGACCACTTGTTTGGCCAAAAGTTCAAATGCAATAGGTCCTTCAACTGATACTTGACTTGGTTCTCCATCATCAATGAAGATCAAGTCTTGATCATCCAACTGTAGGGAAAATGTTGTGAGACAAATCATGAATATGAAATTAACAAGCAAATTTCAAATGCTAGATTAAAGAAGGCAAGGAGGGTCCTTACAGTATTGGCACGGCTTATACCAGGCACAGATATATCCGGAATGTCTTTAAATAGTTCTTTAGGATTTAAACCAATATCATCAAAGGGGAGAGTCATTACCTTGGACTTCTTGCATTTCCAATGCTGATCCATGCTGGTAGATTGCTCATCCTCCTTATTAAAAGGCTCGCTCCGCTTCTTCTTATGTGAACTGCAAGAATCATGATCAATAGCCTTCACAATGTTTGAAGGAAGATGAAATGAAGTACCCTTCGAAAATTCTTCATTAGGAGTAAGGTTCTCAGGGGTAGTAGCCTTGTTGTTTGAACTCTTCAAAATTTCCTTCTCACTTCTCATAGTCTTTTGCTTCATCTCAAGACTATTGCCAACCTTGGAAGGATTGTTCAAGTTTGCAAGTTCCTTCCCTTTCGACTTCTTCTGCTCCCCATTTGATTGGACACTCTTAATAAAAGCATCATGCTCTTTGAGGAGATGATCATCATGCACCATAGCCCACCATGTTTGAAAACCTGAAGATGTGTGTTTGCTAGCATTCAATGAATAGTTAGGAAAAAGTACCTTTGACTCTGTTTTACTACGAATGGCAGTACGCCAGAGTATTCGACTCAAGTCATAATTTGTGGAACGAACATTTGCCCCGAGTTCCTGCGGAGGAACTTGATAAAATCTGAATTGCCGTGCGAATCTATATGGAATATATGGCTCAACAAGAAAATCCCCTTCAACATGCAAAACTAAGTAATTTGAGCAGGCGCTTACAAAATAACTTAGTTCGAGATTCGCTAATTTGCTATTATCAATAAAAAGTTCATTGCGATTCTTCACAAGAGAAGTGATTCCCCAAGTTGCTTTGTCTCCCTGATGAATGAGGTCGCGAGCATTTTTTTCATCAAAATATCGTGCGCCACCCTCTCCAGAATAGTTGGTCATAGTGGGTCTAGGCATGGTATTTGGAGTCGAATAATGGGTAGAGAAATAACTCGCTAACCAAACATATACATAGTGCACCGGAAAAGCCGCACGTGCACACCTTGGGGTAGCTGAGTTTGAAATTTTATCGAGCCCATGATATATGTTTAGCAGGACAGGAACAGCAAGGCAAGTCTTACGACCGGCAACCATCATACTAGCCATTTTGAAAGTAGATGGTCTAATATAATGGAGGTCCTCATCTGGTAAAGCAAAGACACTGAGCCAGCAGGATATAAATGCTGCAAGATAGGTCTCTTACCGCAAGTGAAGTTTAACTCTGATGGTATCAAATACGCCATTGTCTTGACTTGAAAATTTGCGTGGTTGTCCAATTTCATCATCCGGATGGTATCAAAATGCCCTCTTTATCCTTCTCTGCTTTGGCTTTGAGTACCTGGTTTTGCCTTTAAAC